ATTTCCCCTCTTATTCAACTCAAACCCTTAACTTTAAACCCAACCTATTTCCCTTTCCCCACTTTTACCTCTTCCCTTTCCTCACATTTCCGCTCTAAACCCTCTTCAAATCCACTAAAGTTACCAACTTTCAGTCACCCAACTCTTCACATTTCCCAAAAACTTCACTGCATCACCCCTGCTCAAGAACTTTCCAGTGAATCTGATTTTAGGGATGAAGAAGAAGAAATCCCTGATTTGGTGGACCCCACAACTGAGAAATCCACCAGTCCAAGCTTATGGAATCAAATGATTGAGATCATCAAGTTTTCTGGGCCTGCTACTGGGCTTTGGATTTGTGGGCCTTTGATGAGTCTCATTGATACTGCTGTTATTGGTCAAGGCAGCTCCATTGAGCTTGCTGCTTTGGGTATTATAATCTGAATTATTTGTTTTCTGTGATATTTTTGGGGTTTTTAACAATTTTAATTTGTGGTTATGATTTAATTTAGTGGGGCTAAACCGGCTAATGTAATGTTTAATGTGCAGGTCCTGGAACTGTTCTTTGTGATTATATGAGCTATGTGTTTATGTTTCTTTCAATTGCAACATCTAATATGGTTGCAACTTCACTTGCTAGACAGGTGCATTACTCTGTTCACTAATTAGTTATAGTGTTACACTATTACTTTTATTTCTAAATAATAGGACGCATTTGATCACACGTGACACGTATGTTTATTTTTCAATAAATCGAGTTAAAGTATCATTACACAACTATTGTTACGTCTAAGGTGTTTAAATTTTTTTACTGTATCAGTGTATCCACCATGTCAAAAGTTTGCAATTTCTTATAATGGTTAGTTTAGAGTAATGTGGAGGGTAATAGGCGATTCAAAATAGAATTGTCGCCTATTATTTAGTAACAAGCGAGTGTAAAGTATTTTTTTTTTCATTTTTGTATGACTTTGTATATGGATATCAATATGAAGTATACTTTGTGTGATTAATGCAGGATGAGAAGCAAGTGCAGCATCAAATATCAATTTTGCTGTTTGTGGGTTTGGCTTGTGGAGTGTCGATGCTTGTATTTACGAAATTCTTTGGTTCATGGGCTTTAACTGGTAAATAAAACTGGTATAAGAACATATTTTGTATATACACGTTGATCTTCAGTGAAATACTTGATCATTTGTTGCCTCCTTGGAAAGTTTTGTTCTAATTCCTAGAATAAAGCCTTTGCTTGCTATAATTGCAGCTTTTGCTGGAGCACAGAATGTGCATCTTTTGCCTGCTGCGAATTCTTATATTCAGGTTTGTTTACTATATTGTGGTCACTTCTGTGTCTTGTGTCTTTTTTTCTAGTTGGTTTGGTCGCTATTTGGGGCAATAACTGCCTGCGCTGCTGAAGAGGTATTGGTCTGGTCTGTAATTGAGGTAAAAGTTGTGATTTAGGAGTACCTGTGACAAATTTTGGCACCGTTTTTGAATGGTTTTGATCACACAGGAATATGATGTTTCAATATGTACTAAAATTAGAGATTTTGAACATATTGAGTTCATGAAAGGACTGATACATGTGTACATTTCAAGGACATATGACTTTGTAAATTTGTATTATGACTAAGGTAACACCACTGAATACATGTATCCTTGATACTTCTAAAAATCTTCAAATGTTCATCCCTTGGATTGTGGTGTATCTAAAACAAGGTGTATTCATGTTTCCTTGCTTCAATGTACTTGCTTGTTAAATGGTATTAGATAGCTCTCCACTTTCTACCTCCAAATTATGGTATTTTAATTTGGTTTGCTTAATTCTGATTTGTTGAGTCTTATTTGCGCGCACATCTTCTTCTTCCTTTAATTGTCAAAGACTTTTTCTTTTGCCTGCTAGATTCGAGCTTTAGCATGGCCTGCTATTCTTGTAGGATGGGTTGCTCAGAGTGCAAGGTACTTGATGTTCCCTGTATAAAAAGTTATTTTCAAATACCTCTATGTTAAAACATATATTTTCTAATTTGTTATTAGTCTGGGCATGAAAGATTCAATGGGACCTTTGAAGGCCTTGGTAATCGCAAGTGTCTTAAATGGTGTTGGTGATATAGTACTCTGCATGTTCCTTGGTTACGGGATTGCTGGTGCAGCATGGGCAACAGCAATATCACAGGTGAGCTCAGTCCGTTTATCTTCTTTGTTCTCTTACTATTGCTATTCCACTCTTTTCTACTATAACTTAGCTTTTACTATTGTTATTTTGCTTTTTGTGTTTCTGATCTCAATTGCTGGAATATTCCTTGTTCAGATTGTTGCAGCCTACACAATGATTGATGCTTTGAATAAGAAAGGATACAATGGGTATTCTATTGCAGTTCCAACGCTCCCTGAACTTCAAGAAATATTTGCAATTGCTGCCCCAGTATTTATAACTATAGTTTCAAAGGTTTGTTGCAAATTTAAGTAGCATCAAGTTTAAATTATAGCTGTTTGAAGCAAAAATCAGCTGACATTCAAGATATGTTAATGTTGTTATAGGTGTCCTTTTACTCGTTGATAATATACTTCGCTACCTCCATGGGAACGCATACAATTGCTGCTCATCAGGTGAACCTAATTTGTTTGAGGCTTTTGAATAATATTTGGCTCTGTACTGCAGCTAAATTTAAGTGGCTAACGTATTGCCAACTGAAAATCTTGTAGGTCCTGTCTCAAATATTCCACATGTGTGCAGTATGGGGTGAACCCCTTTCTCAGACAGCACAATCATTCATGCCAGAGCTGCTGTATGGAGTAAACCGAAGTTTAGTAAAGGTATTCTAGCAGTCAGTTTCCAGTCCTTTTTATATAGACTGCCACCAAATTCTAGTGGCCTGAGTTGTTTTTAGCTCCAAGTAAGTGCCTCTTAAAGGAATCCTAGTCATTATTCATCACAAATCATAATTTGATGAAATTTTGAATGACACTTCAACGTTACAAGTCTATTAAGTGTTTGGGATGGTTTACTCATATTACTGATGATAATGTTCATGTTGCACAGGCTAGAGATCTGCTGAAATCTCTTTTGATCATAGGTGCTTCTGTCGGTCTTTTTCTAGCCATTGTTGCAACATCCATTCCTTTCTTGGCTCCCAATGTTTTCACTCCTGATCCTGCCGTTATAGCAGAGGTTAGTTTTGTTTTCCTTTATAAAAATTAATGGGCTGGTAATGCTTGTTGGACTTAAAAACACATGTAGATTAACGCAAGTCAAAATTTTGCTTATGTAAAATCGTATCCTTTTGTCCCCAGATTATAGGCCGCATATGACCTGGGAATTTTTTAAGAATCTTTTTGGAGAACCATGTTATCTTCAGTGTTACGTTTTTACATCTCCACCATTCAATATATTAGCTTTCCTTTTAAATTCTTGCTGCTGTAATTTGAAATATTAAGTGTAAAATTTGGAAGTGACGCATTATTTTAGGATACCTATATTAGATATGTGGGGTTACATTGGTACAATATTATGGTAAAGCAGCTTCTCAGTTGCAAGTTTTCTGACTGTAAAATCGAGTATATGAAAGTGTTTTGTTTGCTTAACTCCTGCAGAATGGTGACATTTTTATATGACTGCAGATGCACAAAGTATGGGTTCCGTTCTTTCTCTCTTTATGTGTGACTCCTTGTATACTCAGTTGTGAGGGAACATTGCTGGTAAGAGTTGGAGATTTCATTTCGATCATTTCCTTGTCGAACTGTAAATTGTCAAGTAATTAGTCATTGCATCACCATATAAACAACTGAACTCGTGAATCAATTTTAAAAGTCATACTGTCATAGTCTCAATCATCCTATGGTTGTTGACATTGGATTGGTTTATCGCCTTTGACATGCAGGCTGGAAGGGACCTTAAATTCATTAGTACATCAATGGCTGGATGTTTTGTCTTGGGCTCTCTTGTATTGCTGGTATTGCGATGCTGAACTTTCTGATATTTATTTATCGGCCTCTTGCTGATATTCAGTACAATTATTTTTTGTCTTCCTCTTTTCCATCTAAATTTTCCAAACACTTAGCTTCCCTCAAGCGAATTTAACACATTTACAATTTGTTCTATGACAGCTTGTGAGAAGTCAAGGTTTAGGTTTGGTAGGCTGCTGGACTGCTCTAATTGGATTTCAATGGGTAATTTTTTCTCCTTCAAATTTTCAGCAGTTCTTTTAATACATCATCTAACATTGCCTGACCGCATTCCCCCTCCTCCTTAGGCACGATTTTTTATTGCTCTACAACGCCTTCTTTCTCCGAGTGGGATACTGTTTTCAGAGGATCTTCTCCGTTTTAATTTGTCTGAGCTAAAAACAGCTTAGATGCTGTACCAGCCACATTTTTTACCGATAAAATTTGGTGCTTTGGGTGTTTTTAAAACCACAGCATATGGTCCAGAAGTTGCGTCCATCACTCTCTGAAGCCCAAATGAGGCTCAGAAGATTGCCTACTTGGTGACGCGGAGCATCTATAATGCAAATGGTAGTTGATTTGTATACTACTTGGTGAAATTCTACTGTTCTGTGTAAGTTTGTTGCTCATAATAATGCTTCAAAGGCCGGAACCAAGCCAGATGCATATCATCCATACTAAATCAGATATTGAAAACATATAGAAGCCCTTGAAAATTATACAGTTCATTGAGCAATCCTAGGCCTGCTTAAAGAGTTTAAGCAAACTGATTATTGTAACAAGAAGTGTCAATAAGGACAAAGTACAACTTTCAGATCAAAAGGTGACAAATTTTAGTAAAGAACCACTCAGTGTTTTGTTGGTTCACCCCTTCATGATAATCCGATAAAATTGGAACGATACAGAAATTGGCCTTACAGGAAAAAAACCCAATTGAGGTCCTTCCTTCCCCTCGGCCTTCTACCAAGTGTTTGGCCCTTTAAAATACCTAATACGGGGCGTGGGGGCAAGAGGGCCTTATTTAATGTTTAATGTACATTACTAATTAAATATAGTACAACCTAATCCCAATATGTGATTACACCTCTCCTCCTAATTCTGGTCCTCTCTGTTCTGAAGGGTCATAGGGTGCTTTGTGCTTTCCTACATTCATTTTTTCACTAATTAATTATTATTAATAGTGATTTCATTCCTTTGACTAAAACACACCATAATTATAATATTAACTCAGTGCTAGACTATAGCTTTGGAAAGGTATATTTAAGATATCTTTATCTTAACTTTTTCCAACAGCCCAATCAAGTAGCTGCTTAGGGAGGAATTGATTCAGATACCCAGCATTATGATTAAAATCCATACAATAAAGTTTCATATCATATCTTTAAACCGTTTTTTTTTTTTTTTTTTAAGGTAAGATGGTCCATTGAAATGAGATTAGGAACCCTTTAAAGGGGTGATTCATATGTCCATTAATTTAAGTATCTTCCTATAGTAGAAACATTAAAATATCATTATTTCATGACTAAGCACTCAAAAGCCGTATAGTAAGTAAGATCATCTGACCTAAAACCTACTAAATTACGTATCTTTCTTTCTTTTTTTTTTTTTTTCATAAAGAGGACATTATCGAACCTCAAACCCTCACGGTACACTTTGAGAGTGAGGGAGGAAGGGTAAGAGATTCCCATCCTCAAAGACTCAAAGTGCCTCTAGTAGAGATTGAACACCCAACCTCAAGGTTAGATGGTACAATCTTCCGTATCGCAAACAGATTAATTGAACGGCAAAAATCATCATCTAATTAACTAAAATTCAAGAAAAAAACAAAAAAAGGAAAATAAATAACAATTTTCACTCAATGAAAAATTTGTATTATCAAGTGATGAAAAAATCAATCAAAAAAAAATCCTATGAAAAATCTGTCCATATTGAATCATTTCTCACTGTTTTGTTGCCAATGCACTTCTGATTAGACATCCATCAACAGTAATCTCCTCCGTTTTAGAGCCATTCCTTTGTACTAACCCATGATCATTAACAGTATAATCCACTAAATCATCACATAATCCTGAATAATCCCCCCTTATTAGCAAAGCATTATGAAGAATAGCACAAGCACCAATATATGCAACACCACTCCTAAAATCCTCCTCAATAGGCTTGCTCAATATACCCCAATTCCTCAAACTAGCAACCGTTTTAAGCATCGAAATTCGCGGTATTCGAAGGGCAGCATTGAACCTCTCCTCATTTGATCCAGGTACAGGGTCATCATATGGGATTATTAGCCAAGGTAGTAAAGGGTACTCATTATTTGTTGCAACCAAATATTGAGGTATTTCCACCCCACCTAAATAAACAGGGGTTGAGTTCAGTATTTTCCCTTCTTGTATATCCTTGTATAATGTAGTTGATTTTAGTACCTTTGTGTTGCTGTTATGACCATGAAATCCAGCTACAATGCTCAGAATTCGACTCGACGAATCGACAACGATTTGAGCCGCTATACTCTCTTGTGTACTGAGATTAAACCTTGTACAACTGATCACACCACAACAATTGGGTAACCCTGTAATGTCCTTAAAGTTTTGGGACACTGAGTTCAACTCGACCGAGTTAGGGAATCCAACCCAAAATCTGAAATTTGTACACAATACCCTGCAAAGTTGTTTAGAGCAGAATTTGGCAACTTGGTCAGTGACCCGAAACCGGGTCGCAATCTCCGAATAGTCCGACCCGGTTGACAATCGGTATAACCCGATACCGAGGCGTAGCTCGGCTGAGAGGTTTATAGTCAATCCAATTGGATCTCGGCATTCGAGGAGTGGCTCGAGCAACCCGGAAAGCCACTCGAAGGTTGATGGCGCCATTTTGAAGAAGACCCGGAACGAGTCAGGGGCTGAGTCGACTCGGGCGAGTCGGGCGAGTTTGGATGACCCGGAAAGGGATTCCGGGTCGGAATCGGGATCCGAGAAATGGGTTCGCCTCCGTTTGCGACGGAGGGAAAGGGAAGCGGCGATTTCGGAGGAGGAGAGGAAGTGGTGGAGGAGAGAGAAAATTGTTTGGAAATTAGAGGAATTGGAATTGGAATTGGAATCGGGAATAGAGGGAATGGGAGAAGAAGGGTAAAGGAGAAGGATTAAGAGGGTGAGTTGAGAGATTAGAGAAGAGAGTAGAGCTGCTAATTGAGGAGAATCCATTTATCAGCTCTTTCTTCTGTTTCTGTTTTCTCTCTCCTCTGTTTGTTTGCATCTGACTTCTGTCTGTCTGAAGTCTGAACCAGAATCTGATTATACTTTATCAGGTAACAGAATAAAAGGTTTTTAGTGGAGCCCTTAAGAATTGGGAGTTTGGATGTATCAGCTTTTCTGGGCCGATTTTTTGTGTACTTCGGATTTGTGGGCCATGTTTTTTACGAGTCTCATTAGGTCAAAAAGGGTTCGGATCCTAGTCAAATTTCAGAATGTACATGTATCCTGTTGTACACTCGAGTGTATAATGGACGTCCAGAGTTCTATGTATGCACTCGTGAAAAGAGAGACTAATCACGTTATTCACTTATTCCCATACATGATGATTGGGTACGGTTCAGCTTGGTGGTCAGATGAAGGTGGTGGTAATTGAAGCTGAATGAGTCGACAACTCGACATGCATACTTATTACTTACACTCCGTAGGAGTAGACGTTTTTATTGTGGTATCTCTTACCCCATTTAAGGAGAATCTCTCTTTAAAGGCGTTTGGGAAGAATTGACATTAATAGAATTATCTTGTTCATGATATGATACTAAAAGCAACGATACTAAGCTAGCAGAAACATGCCTATATCTTGTTTGGCAATGATACTAAGCTAGCCACAATGATACGAACGAATTATCTTGTTTGCATTAGATGAAGAAAGAGGATTCATATTGGCTTGCACTAGCTCAACCTTACACTGATTTATCTTGTTATAAATACAAAAGGGAACAGCTTCAAGAAGCACATAAGCATTTTGAGATACTAGATACTCGATACTCAAATTTTACAAAAGAAGTGGCATGAAATTGGGGAAAAAATGATCTACACTATGACAGGTGATGCTAATAATTGTAGCAACAATACCAAACAACTAATCTATGAGGCAACCTTCTCAGATCTGCGATATCCAAACTGACCTCGACCTGGGCCTCCTGGACGTTTTGGAAATTGTTCTCTTTTCTGCAATTTTTCACATAGAAAACTTTAATCAGAAAATAAGAAATTGATTTATCACATATGTTGGTCTGTTGGGTGTTAAAAATTTTACCATGAAAGCGGCCTGAGCCCTCTCCCTCTTCTGATCAAAAAGCTTCCGAGAACGCTCTTTCTTCTTCTCCGCCTCTAATTTTGTAAGGCTTGGCCGATAGAATATGACTGTTCGACCAATCTGGCCTACAACAACAGATCCAGTAGCAAGTTCTAGTTGCTTAACAACATCATCCATCTCGCCTGGGCAGGTTCTATGTATCTTAAGCTGTTTTAACATACAACGAAGCAAATCTCAGCGAATTTTTTTTTAAAAAAATGTCATTTTTTTTATACAAGTACAGGAAGAAGAGATATGATAAAACAGTTGCGTTCATCCTGCCATTAAAAAAAAGAGGGGAAAAAAAAGTTGTGTTGGTCACGACAATTACCAGGTTGACAGAAAAAGGATCTTGCAGAATGAAATTAAAGCTACTACGTAAATCACTAGCTTTGGAAATCAAACCATGGAGGGGTATGCCAGCTATCCAAGATGGCAAGCTAAATCCACTAACTTAAATAGACACAATGTCATGTGTCCAAACAAAAGTAATGATAGCGTCTAACTAAAACATAGAAGTATGAAGTTGCCACAGCAACTGCAAGCGTCTACAAACATTTACAGTGACTTGATATCTTTATTGGTATTTGGAGAAGAGTTGTGTAATTCCAATATAACTACTTGACTACTTGTACATGTTATAAGATTCTTGCACTGTCTAGGTTGCTGCTTTTACATACATGTAAACTTGTCTGAGAAGTGAGCAAATAGCAAGAAAAGGATATCTTTTAGCACCACAATCATTCAAGCAACGCCACTACAGTAATTCACGGGCTGCAAAAGAAATTAGATTAACCAGCATGAACGAATCATCTCATGAAATCAGCAAGCCTTGAAGCTTTGCAACTCCTGAATTTCACTATCCAATAAACCAGATATATCATACTATGACCAATGAACCAGGAAATACATTCGTTATACTTCTACATCAGTCACATAGGCAATGGACCAAATTATCCTAACAAAGCATCAAATGCAATAAAAAATACCATCCCAAAATGGAACAAAAACACCATAAAGATAAGCTTGGGACAAGGGAATCAAACAGTTGGATAAAAGCTACTATTTTGGGATTCCCTATCCTGTAGAATAGTAGGGGAGAATTATCATTTACCAAAGAGATTTATGTATAACTCCCAATTCCGAAGTCCTAAATAAAGATAACAGGTTGTTCGAAAATTCAAATATACTAGCTAATCCCCAAGATTTATGAATAGTGCAACTCACACCCCAAAACCACCTTATTTCACACTTCTCCAAAATCCATCTTATGAAGAAGTCAGGGTAATCACACAGAATGTCATAGGTTGTATGAACCACCACTACCACCTCCGCCCGCATTATGTTAACTTCTACTCCCTCCGTTCCTTTTTGTTCGCAACTTAGTATAAATTCTTACTACCCCCTTAAATCATTTCTTTTCTCTTACACTAAGCATAATCTAAATTGTCAATTCCTTAGTTTCTAAAACAAAATCCTGTTCTATTGGTGCTAAATAACCAAGCCCCAACTTTCAAATATCATTGCACTAATCCAAAACCCCTATTCTACCAGCAAAATACAATTAATCATAAATCCAAAACAAAACTACTGCCACCACCACCACCACATGATAAACCCTAAACCCCTGAAACTCAATTCTTAATTCCCAAATCAAGAATTCCATAAACAATCAAATTCAAGCAAATTCAAATTCCACAAATTCCCATATTCAATCAAACATAAACAGTACTAAAAATTCACCCTTTAATGTAAAACCTCAAAACCACAAATTCAACAATTTTACACAAAAAAATCCAAAACAAACAACAATTAACACAATAAAACAAGAAAAAAGCACAAAAAATCAAACCTTGAGAAGTTCATTGGCCTCAAGAGTTTCAGACAAAGCAAAAACAACATTATCAGTAACACCAGATTTACCCACTTGTTGAGACTTAAGCTTATCACCAAGACTATTAGCATAAGAACAAAGATCCTTCTTTTCTTTAACAGTCAAATTGGGCAAATCTCCAACCTTAATTTTAGCAATTTTAGGTTCTGGGGTTGCTTCATTTTCCTTAGAATCTTCGGAATTACTAAGGTTAATGTTTTCTTCAAGGGAACAAAACAGGGGAAATGAAGAAGAAAGTGGTTGAATTTGAGATTTTAAGAGAGAGAAAGAGAGTTTAGGAGTGTGGATGAGAGAGAAAGGGACGGTGGTTGAAAGGTGGAGAGGGCGGAAGATGTGGCGGTGGAGGAGGAATTGAGTTAGTGTTGCGGTGGTTGCCATTTTTTATTTATCCGAAAATGGCAGAAAATTGGAGGATATATAATTAAGAATTAACTCATTTATCTTTTCCTTGTTTATATAATAAAGGTTGTGCAAAGTTATCAACAAGGGCGTTTGGTCTAGTGGTATGATTCTCGCTTCGGGTGCGAGAGGTCCCGAGTTCGATTCCCGGAACGCCCCATTTTTTTATATTTTTACGTAAATGTATTTTCCTCCGTTTGTTTTTTAGTTCACACATTTTGACTTTGGCACTATTTATACATTTATTTTGATAAAAAAAAAAAAAAAAAAAATCTTTCCAAAAGCATAGCTTTAGCAGGAAAAAGTGTGATGAATTGTTCGTTGACGGATATTTTGTGATTATACAAAAACATAATAAGATCAACTTTCTATACTACAATTTATGCTTAACAATGATTAAAGATATTAATCGTACCGTTAAATCTATGCATTCGTGAATTGAATAAGATCAGATCTAATGCATGAAAATCAAAGTAATAGATCATACACCGCGTTTGCGTAGTTGGGCTACAAATTCATGTACTGTGATAAGATTTAGTGATGATGCACACGAAATAAAATTAAATTCGTAACGATGAAGATTTTGTCAAGGCAATATTTTAGCATCCTAAGCAAATGCAAAGTATTGTATCTATTCGTTTCATATATATGCAACTTTGTGGTATCATTATTTGAAAAATATAAACAATTTCAAAGTTGCAACTTAATAACCAAAAACCGTATTAAGGAACATTTGTCCAAACTTTACCCTAAGATTATCATGTCAAATCAATAAAAACAAATACAGTGCACCTTTATCTACGATAAGAAAGCTTTAATTAAAATTCAAGGAGTCAAATATATGTTACATGCACTATACATTGCAGAAAGATCAAGTGGAATAACAATTACACATTACCAAGAAGTAGAAAAAAAAAACGTACAACATAGAACTCCTTGATCAAGGGTGGAACCAACCACCTGCCTATGCCAATTGCTGGACATAAGACTGAAAATAAACTTCGTATATTCGAGTGTATTTTCGGAGTTATATCCAACATATCCTTCTGAAGATTTGACATAGATTAGGCGCCGAGTTCCACCCTCCAAAACCTACATATATAAGCTTCAAAAGTCGTCCATAATGATAATCTAGAGATTGGACTATCATCACTCAAAATAACTAGCTAGACCTAGGAGTTAATTCAGTACAGCGAACGATTAGTTTTTGGGATGGGATGAGGAGGAGATACGGGTGCCAATTGTAGTTTCGGCCACTGAAGCACCAGAGCCATCTCTAGGAGGGCTAAAGCAAACTGGTAAATACTCGTCATGGTTACAAATGAACCTACTTCTACCAAAGTGTTCCTCTAGCCTTTCCTTGCCCTGCAAAAGTAGTACAAAAAAATAACATATGGTAACACAAGATTTCTCAAGCACGTTATGTAATTAAACAAGTTACAAATGTAAGTTTACCACAACAAGCAAGCAAACTAGCCAAATGAACCCTAATTACAAACACTTCTGGTATTGTAAAGGTATACTAAAATTACTAAATCGTCTTGATACAATGCCTAATGAACCCTAATTACAAACACTTCTAGAGTAATTAATTAATTAATTATGAGGGTAGAGAGAACCTAAGGAGTAAAATATGACCTAAAAGACATGTAGAGTCGTCATGCATTAAAGTAGAGGTAGGGTTGGTAATTTAAAATCAAATCAAACTCCCAACTTCAAAGGTACAATGTCACCATATAAATGCATGGTTTTGCCTCAAAGCACAATCAAGCTAACTAGAATTCAAATGATATCGAACACAAACCTAACATCCTAAATATAGTCAAATTATTGAAGCAACTCGAGGGGGAAACAAGACATATCACATAGTACAACATACACCAATAGTATAAACTCATTTTTAAGGATTCGAGTTAGGGTAGGCATATAACAAAGTATAATAAAATCCTTAACCATAGTCACTATGGTACTATTATTGCTATACATGATTTAAAGTTAGAAAATTTATACTCGTAAAAATTTAAAATTCATTTTTTTTTTCTAGCAATTGCCATAAAATTTCACTATATTGTAAGGGTTGCAACTTGTGAGAAATGGATTATTGCACTGATCATGTAACCATGTATGTATGACATGTATAACGTATCTAATTGACATTAGGAGACCTTTTTATTAAGATATTATAGCATTTTAATTATAATATAATATACCTGAATGGAGGCATAATTGATTTTACAAATCTTAGGAGAGTTGCAATGACTCCAGGGTTGATTACTACAAGCAAGGTGAAGCTTCCACACCGCGATTGCATGGGTGAAATTGACGAAGGCATACCCTTTGTTAGCTCCTCTCCTATTAATAAACCAATAAAATTATATAAATCATCAACATGCATCAAATCAAAAAATTAAAACCCGAAAAATGAAGACTTTGTTCAAATCTACTCAAAGAAATCAAATGAAATATAGTCGATAAAAAAAAAAAAAAATTAATCGTTACACGAAATCAATAGGCAAGTAGAGGAAATCAAATGCAAGAGGTTGACGATTATCAGTAGGGCGCAATCTTTGGTTCTCAATGCGGCAAAAATCATCCAAAAACTTGATCAACATTTCACGCCTGAAACAAGTTAAACGTTGAGTATATGCTTAGAAATATAATCATTATTATAATTTCATAAAACTAATTATTACACCTACACTGTACTGTATGGTCTGTATTAGTAGCTACTACTTCTAGTATGTAAAGCTACGTCATAGACCCTTCTGAAGTGGGCTAAACCAGTAAATCAATCAATCAAACTAGTCTTAGAAAATAAATTATGCATGAACCAAATTTATTTGTGTTTTTCAAGGCAATAATTACATTTAATATCCAACAAAAAAAATTACTCGTAGTACATTTTCCCAAAATGAGCGAACAATATAAATATTCGTTACGGAGTAAAATAAATTAAACTACGTGTATATAAATTGGTAAGAAAAAAAATATATAGAATAATAAATAAAGGCAATTAATGCCAAAAACCATGGAGCTTATCAATGAAATAGCAAATTGAACTTTAGTGAAATTAAATTTCATCTAGCTTGCATAATGTGCTGTCTTTAAATAATGTTATTCCAACTTTTTGATTTTTTTTTTTACTCATACTACACATGATACAATCACTGTTTAAGTAAGAACAACATTAAGAGATTTGATCAAAAAACAAATGCTACTCGTATTATCAAACAATAATTTACCAAATGTTACTTGGGTTGAGCATAAATATAAAATTACACAAAATAATAAAATATGCATAAATAATTCAATTAATGGAACTCCTCATTAATTAAAAAAAAAACATGGATTTTATTAACACTTGGCATTTATTGTCAAATTATTTATAAATAAACTATTATGGAAAATGTTATACACAGCCCTTAGGGCTACATATAAACATTAAATTTACACTTGAAAATCGTAAAAAGTTAAGAAATCATACAAATATAAACACTAATTACATTGATTTAAGCGTGTTTTTATCATGAATTTCTAATTTTATACAATTTTCAAGAGTATATTTAATGCTTATATATAAGTCTTAGGAACTATTATAACCTCTTTTTTATTTATTAAAAAAAAAATCAAGTATATTAACTAGTGAGTATGTTAAAATTTTCTAATAAAGTTATAAACAAAAATCATGAAATAATAAAGCTAAATAAAAATGAGAAAAAAGAAAGAAAATAAAAATCATACGTATATTGATTAGGAATGTTCCTGATCATAGCAGTAGTCTCAGTTCCATTAGGCTTCACCGCCATCACCACCCTTTCCTCTTTTTTTCTCTCTCCTCCAAAATTATTACTAGTACTTGTATCAAAATCAAACCCTTGTTTCCTCTCATTTATATTAATAACATCCCTTCTTCTACTTCTTGATCTTCCACTTCCACGTACACAACCACTACCATTGATAGCTGGGCTTTTGGGCCATGCCGGAGATGGGCCTGACCTGAAATGGGCCAAGGGAGGAGCTGTAGGTAGCTGGCCCAATTGCGAAGGTGGTGGGAGTTGCATGGGGTTTATTGGGTTAGGTTGATTGATCAAAGGTTGGCGATGATAAGGGTAGTTTTGGTAATTTTGAGCAAGTGCAACTGAAGGTGGTGGTGGTGGTATTGGAAGAAGAGTTGAATAATAGGGGAAATCAAGATGATTAAAATTAGGATGATAGTAATTATAGTTGTAATAATAACAATTAATATTAGTAAATCTAGTATTATTGTTATTATTATTACTAGTGGAGTAAAAAGAGGGATGAAATTCAGGGGCACCAGGATTTAAGTAGCTTCTTCTTCTTCTAATTCTTCCTCTCATTCTTTCTCTCCTTTTTTTGTTAGGGTTTATACTCAAAGAAAAAAGCTAGAGAAAGTGAAGTACGTTTTTTAAGGGTGCAGAAACAAAAGAGGATATATATATTTGGTGGTGTAATTTTATTTTGTTTTACTAAAAAGTTATTTTTAGGTATTTGGGTTTTCCCAAAAAAAATAAAATACTGTATTATCTTTTTTTTTATAAAAAAAATATTAAAGAAAAAATACAATCTTGAAGGAGGAGAAGAGGCATAGGAAAGAGTGTCAATAGTCATATCATTAGTAGTCCCTCTCTATCTGTCTATATGGCTCTATGCCTCTATCTACAATCCCACTGACAAATCTTTTAATTCTTTTTTTTTTTAAGTAGAAATGAAGGTTTTTCCTATTCTTGTAATTTGAATGGTTGAGTAGTTGTTGCAAGTAATCCATTTCTAACATTTTTATCTATAAGGGGAGGGAGGAGAGGTGTGCAATTGTAAGGTAGAGTTAATAATAAGTGTATTTTTGTTTAATTTATACCTATTTCGTTATATGTTGATCAAACTTCAATTCATTTAGCAAGATTATAACTAACATCTTAAGCTAACAAAGTATGACACATCATATGTCATAATAGACTTTTTTTTTTTTTAATGGTATGTCATAATATACTGGTACTAAGTTTTAAGACCTAACGAAATAATTTGTATTTGCATTATGTAGCATTAAATTAAATAGGTCTTGGTAAAGTATTGATGGAGTCTTGAAAAATCAAGACCTCAAGCTATGACTTAATTTGTGAGTTAAATAAAATTATATCTGGCCTCCTAATTCTTGTATTGTACTAGAAAGCTAACATAACATATGGGAAGAAAATTTTAAAATAAGAATGTGCGAAATTGCTAATCTTTACAACTTTGATTTTCGTGACTTTTTTTTACTCACACTCCACCCCCCCAAACTCGTATGATCCGACCCATCTCCTACTTTAATTTCATACTACGTAGAGACATTTACTTGTGCCCATATTATGTCTGTCATTTTAAATGATATATAATATGGCCGGTTTATTATTTCATGTTATAAAATGACCATAGTTAGTATTTTAATATCTACAATGCAATTATAATTTTGGAAAATTTTAATCCAACATAAAATAAATATTTTAGGACAAACTATAGAATAAGAATAAAAATTACATAAATGAAAATAAAAAAAATTTAATAAATCAAAAAAATGTTTATAACTATTTTATCAAAAACAAAGTAATATAATTAATTACTTGAAAAAAAATATATCAATTATAAACTACAAAACCACCAAAACATTATGATAGTCATATTTCAAACAACTATGGTAAAATTTTTTTCATAAAATATACGAAGTACTTAGTATTGTATTTATTTATCTGCTTTGATTAATCCTTCATATATAGTGAGAGTAGAAAGTTAGGGTCTATTCTCATTGACTGAACTCAGCTGAACTGAACTGAACTGAACTGAAATGAATATTTTATAAGAGATGAAAATTAGAAACTGAGCTGAATTGAATTGAATTTCAACATAAGAGAATATACCCTTATTAGTTTACTACTCTATGTTTCATCAGACAGAAAATGTTCCCTAAGATTTTGATGTAGAACAATTGGGATAACCGGCTTAAATCAAGGAGATATGCCCAAAATCAGCAAATAGATATGGCTGACATTAGCCTGACATGAGCATAGACGTTTTACGCAGTATTTTTTGTTTCTTTTATTGGCACTAACACCATTTTCAGCAGTGAGGAAAAAAAAAACCTCTCAATCTCTCTCTACCCACTTTCTCACTCCTCCCATACAATTTCTCTCATCAAATGTTTTTTTCACCACAGCAATGAGGAGAAAAAAAACCTCTCATCACTTTCTCCTCCACTATTTTTTAATTTATTTTTTAATTACGTTTAAAAATAATTTAATAAAAATTTATAATTACGTTTAAAAATATTAATAATACTAACTGGAAATTTTTTTTATAAGAAATAATTATAATAATAATAATAACAAGAAGAAATTGGGAAAATATGTTAATTTCTCTAATTTATGGGTTTTTTGAAAGTATATCAAAATGCATGTCTATTTATAGAGAAAAAAATTTTATGGTCGTTGGTGAATTTTTTTTTTTTTAAAAAATAATTACAACGGTTATATTTCAAATACAAAATATAACCGTTGTAAAAAAACAACAAAAGCAGTGGGGGCCACATGTTACTGTTCATCACCAAAAGCCCTCAACTCTTGAGGGTTTTTATTTTCACTCATCGGTGAGTTTTTTTTCACTCACTGATGTAGTGTTCGGATTTTTTTTTTTACACCCTTATTTTTACTCGTGAGGGCTTTTCTCCTCACTGCTGGGAGTGTTTTAAGCCACTACTACTCTTATGAGTTACTTGTAATCTTGTATGAGTCTTATGACAAGAAATCTTCCCTTCTTCAATAAATCATAAAAATACATATAACACCCTATGTACTACGGAGTACTCCGTAGTTTTTGTTCAATAAATTTAATTTTTACCTTGAGCTAAAATCACCTAGCAAAACTTAATTTGATCAACTCATTTTAGATAATTAGATATAATGGATTCAAGGGCATGTATGTATGAAAAAACATTTAATATATGCAAAATTCGGGTCAGGATAAAGAGGTTTTTTAGGTTGGACCAAGTTGTGGCCTACAAATGTGGGAAATCGGGTTTGAATGCGCCCAATTAGAATTTTCGATCACATTTATTTGGTTGATCATGGAAATCCCACTTACGTGAATCTAGATAAACTACTTTAGTTATACAAAGTACATAGTATGAAGTAAAACTTCTTAAAAAAAACATATATTTTTGTCAACCAAACAACGTCTCATTTTTTATTATTACGTAGTATTATCAAATCAAACAATCATCTATTTAATTAATTGCATGTTTTTATCGAAGCTTTAACTATAAAGTGCAATTCAAAACTTTAAAAACAATAGAGATGAAAATTAACAAAATGAACTTGTATTCTATCAAAAAAAAGGAAAAATAAGAAGAAGAAGAAAAATAGCCATAAAAAATTAGAGCACTCATTCACAAGTCACAAATTCAAGAAAGGATAAGGACAAAATCCTAATTTGGGACTTCCAAGTTATACTAACAGTGGTAGTAAAGCATAAGCTAGATTATTTTCTTATTATCTAGCACCCTTCAATGCCAATAGAGCAGCACCATAAGCAGCTTCTGTTTGAACAGCACGACTGACTGGCAAAGCAAGCACTCTCTCTCGAATTTTAGTCCATTTATCATTCTTTGCACCACCTCCGGCTGTGAAAACTTCATCTGCTCCAGTTGCCCCAAGATCTTTAAGTAGGCCATAACCTTTTGCCTAAACAACCTTAAATAGGTAAGGTTACAGAGATGAGAAATAATTGCAAGTTATTAAGTATATAGCTGAAGTTTAAGGGAGATTTTAGTATACCTCTATGCGTGCAATGGACTCTAGAACACCATGCAAGTAATCAGAATCACTATCAGGACGCGGATGTAATCTGCGTGGTCAGAGAGTAACACATAATTCAGTTGTGCAAGCCACTATACATACATTTTTTATAACTGGAAATGTGCAAATCATAAGCACATTAATCTTTAACTCCCTAAGAGACGATGACCAAACACTAAAGTAGCCATCAAAATCATCAGATAGTTTTCTCAAGACTCAAAAAAGTTTTGCTCAGACAAATTTGCTGAAAACTTTAAGACTTTTTGTATGCCAAAATTTAATTATTTTTGAAATTACTTGATATCTTGAAGCTAGCTTAGTGTACAGATTTTATAAAACAGAAAAAAGCAGCAAGAACCACGGCACCTGTGTGCTAATTAGTCCCTCACTCCCTCCCAAATCACAAATTCTATGACAGTATGCCTTAATCCTACGCCTTTTTCTTGTAGCTTACCCATCCTTGAAAGTGAATAGAAGCCAAATTTAGCAATCCAACATCTATTGAATTTTTATACTTCGTATGTAATAATAATCAATATAGTATAGATAAAGGTCACTACATAAGTATAGAATTGAGTTCCATCTCAGTTATCTGACAATAAAGATGCACACATTAGACAAATAGTGTTGCCAACAGTATGTATTACTTGAGTTTCACAAAGTACGCAGTTAACATAAGTGTAGACTCTTACCTGGGCTGCATGTCAGGATCTGCTACAGGAAATCTCTCCCCGGCAGCTGGTAAAGGGTAGTAGTCCAGAGAAGAAGGTAGTGCAGGATTTATTTGCTCACTCAGCTTCTCCAGCTGCTCATCAGTAAAAAGTTGCCTCAAGACAGCCCCTCCTGTGTTCGAAGCTCCCCCAACAAGCCACATATCATCAAGCCGATGGCTGTATACTCCAAATCGCGCATCCTCAACCCTGGTATTACTTAGTAGTTTTATTGCAAGGGTTGAACCCAAAGATGTTACCTAGAAACAGTTATTTAACAGAAGTTATTTGCAGATGTCTCAATTGCAAATTAGGGAAAATTTATAAGGTAAACAAGGGTGATGAAAGTTATATGTTAAATGCAAGTCTCACCGCCTTTCCTGGTTCTGTGGCACGAGCTGCAAGAAACGCGGCAATGCTATCAGTTGTTCCAGCACAAACAACGCAATCCTCAGAGAAACCTGTCAAGCATTTCAATGATTAACGCCAATATAAGTCAAATCTTACACAAAATTTGACAAAATTATCATTGATTTCTGTCCTCATATTGAATGATGTCCGATGATTAGAGCTACTTCCCTGCAGAACACACAGCTATTGGCTCATTCACAAAACAAGGCTACAACTTAGAAATAATTCAGAGCCCCTATAAGAATCAATCAAGTAAGAAATGCGAACTCAGATCACATCAAACTCAAAGGTAGAAGGATATAAGCATCTTACAGCATACATTACTTGACTGTATATTCTCAGACAGAACAAAAATTGATACCTAATCTTTTTCTGACATCCTCTTTGACATTTGCTATTGCAGATCCTGGAGCTAAAATAGAAGGCAAAACACTCGAGTAAGGTTGTGACAGCAGCCAAGGTGGATAAGAATCCATCTCAGGGTCAAACCCAACCTACATAGTACATACACACAAACCCCATCAGTGACACAGTCCCAAGAAAATCAAAGTTTGAGCGGAATGAGAAGCAATTGAACCAAGAAGCAACCTTCAGAGCATTGTTATAGTCCGAGATGCCTAATTTTCCATGAAGCAGCCAAAGTAACCAATCTGCTTGATGCAATAGTGCAGCAGAATCCTTGTTCTGGCTGTCAGAATTCCACCAAGAAACCAGCTTACACAGCGTAGAGGAGCCAGTACAGACTGTGTGATTTGGGGGCGCTATAGACTTAACTGCTGGTAAAGCATCCGGGCAACTCTCATTATACAAAAGAGGCCTACATAATGGCTCCCCTGTAGAGCTGCATCCACAAGTCTAAATGCTACAGATTCATATACCACTATAACAAGGGATATAAAACAACTACTTCCTCCATCCCTAAATAATAACAAGCCACATGAAACTGAGTACAGTATCATAATTCGTAAGGCAGTAAGTCCACAACAACATTAGGCAAATGGAAGGTAAAGGAGTTAACCTGTTAACAATCATAGTTGTAGCAGATGTGCCATCTATGGAAATGGAACAAACAAGAGGCCGAAGCTGTACTGGAACGTCTTCAAGCAATGAAAATAGTGTTTCTTTCCATGAGCGCGCCCAGTTAACAGATTCTCCATCCTTTCTAGACATTTAACATAAATGTTGATCCCAACAAACTTCATCACTAGTTACTACTACTACTAAATACTAATAATCAAGAACTTTTCTAAATTTCTGCCTATTATATACCAATTCACCTAATAGCTAATTTGCCACAAAACATTACACAATGCCACATTTTAGTACAAACTTTGTCCATATAAATGCCAATCAAATAAAAAGTTAAATTAAACAAATGCAATCTTTGCCAATTTATCAACTAAAGCCATAGCAATTTGCCTAACCTAACAAATGCAATCTTAGCTAGTAATAGTTTAATTATCTACTCTCTGATGTTATAATATCACGTGCATTGCTACGGGTACAATCTAGCTTTAGTAACGAATCAAAAATTGTACTCCGTAACACTTATCGAACTTAGCTAAACTTATTTTTCCATTCTACAAAGCAGATTTCAAATTTTCAAGCAGCATAATAAAATTAAATAACATAAATTTTGAACAAAGTACTAAAATTAGAGCATATACCAAATAAAGAGGGTATTCTCTCTTGGCCTCAGCAATGATTTGGGCTTGTTTATCAATGAGAGCATATCTAGCCCCTGATGAACCAAAGTCCATTCCAAGGTATAATCGTTCTGAATTACCATTTTTGCCCTTTTCAGGGTTCTCCATTGATGATGATATCTTTGAGCAATAAACCTTTCCTCTTCTAAATGCTTTATGTACATTTATACTACCATTTCCTGAAATATAGAGTCCAACTTTTGTAAGAAAATATTAATTTGTCAAACTTGTAAAATTAAAGAAAAGGGGGAGAAAATTAAGAAATTAAATTACCTTGATGAATGAGAGAAAAGAAGGAGACATAGCATGTTATAGGGTGGACTGATGCTTGCATTTCTTCCTGATTTTCTGCTCACTATTCCTCTAGGATAAGGCAATGTGGCAAACTTAACCAAGAGCCAATCCTTTCTTTTTGGTTTGAAGGCAATTCCATATAGGAGCCAAAAAATTAAAAATTAAAAATTGGATATCTCATTAAATAAAAAAAATTTAAAAAAAAAAAAGTTGGTTTAACTAACACGAGTTGTCTAACTCGGCCTTTCGAATAATGATCTTAGGGTTGGTTTTGATTAACTGAACTCTAAACTAAACTAAATATTTTATAAGACAAGGAAATTAAGAACTGAACTGAAAATGAAATGAATTGAAAATAATCTGAAGAAAACAGACCCCTAGCACTCTACTTTAAAGAAAAGAATAGAAAATATAGATGGACTATTAAACTAAAATAACCTAAACACCGGTAAAAGGAAAGTTTTAGAGTATTTTGTTAAGCAACCCGTTTTCTTTCTCAAATTGGCGTGTGAAGACTTGAGTACATAACTATTGTACAAGATTGGCCTCAAACCAAAAACCTCTTTTATGCTTCATTGATCTTCAATTCTTCAACGATCAGAATGTAACCATTATTTTGAAACAAAGGGTGTATGAAACTGTATGAAATTAATGTACTAAAAATATCTCATGGGAATGGGCCAGCCATAATTCATCAACAAGGCTTGTTCAGATTTAAATGTAGATTAAAGAAAAAGTAAGGCCCATTTTTCCTTTGGGCCTCTAACTAGAGAAGAAGTTGAAATAGACGTTGAAGGACGTTAAGGACCACCCCTAATGAGTATTATTGGCCCTATTTATTAATTTATGTGAAGGACAATTATTGAATTATATCATCAACAAAATCAAAAGTTGTCAATGAATATCCAACGTTCATTTTGTTACTAATTATGTATACGTATGAGATTTTAATTGTTTGGTCAGATAATAGCTTTTTAGTTCCCTAGTAGGACCAATTTGATCAATCATCATTAAGACAAAAACATTATTGTAAATTGTTCATAGTATTCCATTACTCCACAATGCTATCTAGTAGCAAAAAATTGCAATCTTGCGACTATTACACCAATTGATATAATCATATAATATACTTTGTACCAAGTATATATTTAATTTATTCCTTAGGATCCTCGTCCAAATAGAGGTTGCTCAAGGACTACTTGAGGTAGTAAATTGATTATACTTCACGCTTCGTAAGACTCGTAACTAATTATTCTTTTGACAAGGGTATTGTACATATCGATTGTAAATAGGTAAGAGGTTTATCCGTTTATATGATGGTAAGTGGTTAGCTCAGCAAAAAGCATTATGGTACAAGCCTCCAAGGCTAATAAATAGCACAAACGAAAGGAGATCGAATAATATATAGAGTAACAAAATAATAATGGAAGATGAGATCTGCCAGACTATACAATACGCAAAAAGATGATGAAGCTTCTACAAAAAAAAGATGTAAAAGAAAAGTGTGGGACACACGTGGCAAATAAATAGAAGCCCCCTGGCACGTGCGCAAGTAGTGTATAATATGCGTAACACAATATCACATGGTAGTAATGGGAAGTGACAGCTAAGAATAGCACTCACTCTCAGATTCAGTATAATAATACAAGTGACCAAGTGTGTGTATGTAGTTACTCCGTAGTAGTAGTATAAAGATCTAAGAAGGACCACAATATATACTTATATAGCTTGAGTTGTAATTTTAGGCATCAGAAAAAGGGTGGCATAGGAGAAAAAAGATGGTCTCTCTATGTTACTAATCATGGATATTTGAGCATTCTTTGCTTGTACTCTTCTTTGCCAAGAATATTTTTTACTTGTACTATGAGTGGGTCTTGCACCTTCATGGTAGCACTTCGATATCCATTGTTTGTATTCTTGTGCATGGTACGTCACGAGACGGATTTTGTATAATCTTATTATTATGTGAGATCGGATTAACTATCATCAGATTGATTATATTGATCGTAATAATGATTAGTTACTTAGTGAATGTTTTTTAATGACTCGTAATAGATTTAGTATATTACAATTCTACACATTTGAGGGTTGAGGCTCTTTCATTATCCGTTCTACTTTATATATTTTCTTAATACAATATGAGAAATTGTCTTTATATTATGTCAATGTGCTATATATCTCGAGGTTATTTGTTATCACCCACGTGCTCTTAATAAAAGCCTGAAATTTTGGTGATTTGAATAATTAGATTTGGCCTTAGCTATAATTTCAAATAATACAAAATTTAGATACACATTGAATTGCATGGAATAGAATAATTACACATTACGATAATTGTGTTGTATGTAATCGATTTATATTGTTCAAGTTTGTATTGAATTGAATTTGGAATTCTCTCAATAATTTTGAGTTAATTAATAGCTCTAGTCACTCTATAACCTTTATGTCAATATTTAACCTTGGGCCCTTGGCGCAACTTTGCACCTATTGAGTTCAATAATTGGTTAGAAGAAGTTAAATATGCATATTATTTTAAACCAGTAGCTAGCCGATAAATTACCTAACAAAGTATTGAAATTATTAGTGTGCTTAAGATTTGAGTGGAGAATGATTAACTAATAACCAAAACAAGGTAAAAAAAAAATAATATAAACTAAGCTATCACATCATTTTTGGCCCCAATTAGATATCATCCTCATAGTAGGTGGCATGGTTGATTTAAAACAAATCTATCTAAATATTATCAAAAGGTTATAATAAATTTATGTTAATTAATATGAGTGCAAGAAAATTATGTCTCACCTTCAATTCCTAAATTGTGGGCCACTATAAAGAGAGGTAGAGTGTAATCAATCACCTAGCTAATTTAATTTAATTATTTTGTTTAAGATATTTGAACATACAAGAGGCAAGGAAGCAGAAAAATCATTACTTTTTATTGTAAAGGTTCGTTCAAAGTGTGGACAAAGAGACAAAGCATGGTCTTATTAGGCTGTGTTTAATTAGCATGGAAAATTAAAGTCTCGCTAATAGGGTTATCGATGTCGTTTCAATTTAATTAGATGTCTCTAATTAGACGGGGCTAATATAATCAACCAACAATTGAAACTATTGGATTAGGTTGTACGAGGGTTTAATGTTAGAAAAAAGTATACGACTTGTTACTTTTTAAACACTTGTTAAATTCGTTTATGAGAGTACAAAGTACTTTATGATTCTTGTATCTTTATTTTTTTTTTTATTTCCTTCTAATAATGTATTGTTTAAGATCTTTTTCATTCATTTTCATTGAGGTGTGTGTTTAATGAAGAAGCTATAGATAAATTGATTGAATTGTCAATGTGGGACACTTAATTGATTCTTCATGGATATTTATAGCTTGGCTTTAGATTTAATTGTATAGTTAAGAACTCCTTGAAAAAAAAAAATGCTAAGTACTTACTTTCACTGAAAATTACTCCCTCTATTTCAGAATATCTAGGACGTTGGAACGGACATGTAGTTTAAGAAAAATTTGAGTTAAATCATTTAATACTTTTGTTTAATACATAGTATAAAAAAATTCCTTTTTTATTTTTTTATTTTTTTTATGTGACTAAAATTGTATCCCAAAAATGAATAGGCCGTGAGTAAGGAAAATACTACTTGTAGTTTTTAATTAGTAATCTCATGCTATATTTAATAATGTGTTAATTATTTAGAGACGGATAAAAATAAGAGTATAAGACATGTATCACTATTTTAAGACGAAAGGAGTTTAAAAATTACGGAGTAATAAATTATAGGAAGGACTAAATCAAAAGGTATAATTTTATTTTATTTTTAACGGTAAATTATAAGAAAAGGGGTCTCAACTCTATCACAAAAGTGGAAGTTTCTGGAAATCGAACTCTCATCACTTAAGAGATAGATGGAGATAACCATCCCTCCATCTCCTCATTGATCGCCTCCTCGGTTAGCTACTTAGCTGTATAATGATGCAACTAAGAATTTGTTGGACTAAATATTTGGAGGTTTATCAAAATGAGTTGAGAGTTGAGACTAAAGAGTGTGTATGGGTGTAGTTAATTAGAAAAGGGGGCCCATAGTGATTCTAAATTAAGGAAGTGGTATCATGTGCAAAAAGGTTCAATGTTCCAAAAGCCAACCAACTCTCACGTGGATTTGGATCTCTTTCGGGTCCTCTTTGCCTTTCTAATTAATTACTTTGCCCTTCACAAAATCACACTTGTTAAACCCAAAATCCTTTATCTTTAATACGGAGTACATTCTACTCTTGCTATTAAAGATTTATTTTATTTACCTTATCTTGTAAGAGCATCATAGCATGTAACCAAGCTTTGAGTTGGTGGGGAACTCATCTTGTGAATTTAAGGTCACGAGTTCGAGCCCCACCAGCTACAAAATGTTTGAGAATGGGGGATTTCTCTTACCTTCCCCTCTACTCTCAAGTTAAATTAATATACTAGAGTATTAAATTGTAAAACAACCATTGAAAATTATAAGAAAACGGAAGATAGAGGTCAATAAGCAAACGGTTAACGATGGGTGCTGAAACTTCATTACCAAAGTAAATATGCTTTTAGTTAGATACTTCCTTCGTTTTTTAAAGTTCGGAATTGAAAAATTTGCTCTCGGTTACCAGACTGAAGCCGACAAGAAGGGACCTCGGAGGTTCCAGACTTCTTTCAATTGTACTGCCCGTACATGAGATTTTCACCTCATACGGCTCCTCGAAGGATTTATAACTGCCAAAAATATCCCTCCCTGCAGCGCGCCCTTCCTTTAATTATTCGGTCAGCCTACTTGAATTGAATAAGGTAGAGTCAGATTGAAGATTAAAGGCTAAGAAGGAAGGAAATGACGCCCTTGCCCAGCTATCCTTCCATCCGCTCTTTGTCAAGCTAGAGCAGAGCCACCCGAAGGAAGAGCTGCAGTGGTGTTTATTTGCTGCAGCCTCTCAGCTGTCGGCTCGTTGGTAAGGCGGGGGCTTCGCAACTACTCCTTCAAACAAAGGCACTAGGTGGTGTGTGACTAACTTGCTATTTATGTGGTCAAACTAAAATAACTTTGACCATCTTTTTTTTTTATACAAATACAATAAATACGAGTATTTCATAAGTTAACATGTTATATCTTATTAGATTCTATTTCTAATATTAACTTTTTATAATTTTAATTTACATAATGTTCGAAGATATTCATGGTCAAAGGTGTATATTAAAAGTTGCGCAAATACAAAGTGAG